TGGGTTACTTATATCCACATAAGTAGTATATGGTGATGGTCAGACATAGAATGTATTTTGGTAGAAGATCGATAAGGAAAGAACAGGAACGATGCTCAATCGGTATGAAAATGCATAAACAATGAAATCAGAGAAGGTGGACTGATATTTGCAGAAGGAACAGTCAAGATTGAGACAATTGATTGTTATTTTGCAAATTAACTGTTTACTGTATGACATTAAATAGGAATAATATATTTGTAAAATCTCAGAAAAATGAATTTAAACTCGACGCTGAAATACTGTAAAACTATTCGCTCTAATTTAGACGAAAGTTCTTATATGTTTACTGTATGGTTATCAGATTGTAGTGAGATAGTCGATAATTTCTGCTTAAATACATTCGATCGTCCCCACTCGTGTTCTCATTCACTACAATAGTACAATTACTGCAAAAAATTCCTATCAAAAACCAGTCTTCAACTCTCGATACAGCTTAAATAGAACTGATACCATGTTGTAATTTGTTTACAACTTACTTTTATTCAAATTCATTCAGTATTGTTTGTTTGAATCTTCCCATCGATGTGTCAGGACTGCAACTGGTCAGTCTCTAATTGGCATATATGCATACTGTGCGTATTGCCTCGGTATAGCCTTAATTCACAAGCATTGTAAGCAAAGATGGATAGTGGCTAGCAGTGGAATCCAGTAGAGAGAATATTTATTCAGAGAATATTTATTCTCTGAAGAAGTGGCTTACATTGAGTCACGAAACGTCAGAAAATCTAATTTTTTCTACTCATTGGGATATTACAAATATATTGTTTATTCATTGAGAATTGTTTGTTTGAATCTTCCAATCGATGTGTTAGGACTGCAACTGGTCAGTTTATTAAAAATATGTGTTAGTTAAATATACATAATTAATTTTAATACAACCACCATAGTTGATGGAAAATCATAACTTCATCTATCTATTTATCATTTATACACAGAATCTCACATACACACTACTTCTATATATATCAGTATTGTGAAAGGAAACTAGAATCAACGATAGACTCTACGCCTACGTCTTAGAAACAAAAACGTTATTTGTTTTTTTTTTTCTTTAACAAGGAATGTAATAGAATGTTATGTAAATGTTTAATACAATTATCATTTGTAATCAATCGTTTCGTAATTTACTTTACATCAAATCTATTCGTAGAAAAAAAAAGCATAGTATATTCATAATGATAATAATTTCCGAAAAAGAAAACCTACTTTCACACATCTCTAGTATTAAATGAGTTTTTGTTTACTTCATGCATTCCATTTATTGAAGCTAGTATAAAACTGTTAGGATTGGTTATTCATATTATGTTATTGTTGTGTTGTTGTATTTAAGCTGTGAACAGTGAACTATATTTTCTTATACATATTTAGCATACTTTCCTTTTTTTCAGACAATGATATTTTCATTATTTTTGGTTAGTTTCTGTGGTAATTAAACACATAGAAAAACCTCGGGATTTATAGGTTATAGACTTGTGAGATTTGATTAAGATCATTAATCGATCTTAATTAGACAACTATTGGAAATCTGGAAGCACTGGACAGTTGTTTCGTCTTGGTTTAGGACTTCACACCAGTGCGCATCTACGATCCCGCAACTAAGAATCGAACCCAAGACCTTCTATTTAGCGCGTGAACGTTCAACCTCCAGACCACTGAGCCTGGATTCTCTAGTGTATATATCTAATTTTGATCAATCCAAAATATTGCACGACCAACTTCCATTGTCTTCAGGGGGTAATTTTCTAACAATTGGCACAGCTGAACTCCATTAGTCACGGTGTTTGTTGGTATTTATTTAATTTTTCACAGTTAGTATGTATATTTCTTTAAACAAATACTGTTACAGGCTATGAAAAGTTTTACAAATCATCTAATTTCACATGTATTTAGTGTTAGGATTTAAGTTTATTTAAATATTAACTAATTGGTTGTTATGGATGATTTTTCTAAAATTTGAAACAGTTCGTTTTTCTCATGAAGTTGAATTATTGCTACCAGTTGTTAATGAACACATTTTCTTGTTGTTATATCTTCAACTTATATATGCTCACTTAATAAAATCATTAAATTTTTGAGTCTTAATGAATTATTGCTTGCCCCCCACTACTAAGTGCTCTAGTGCTGATTGCCCCACTCAACTTTCTTCCTCCAACCTCTCCAATTAGATCATGAGAAAAAGCGGCTGATTTATTCTGTATATTTATGGCTTGAAATGTCATATGATAACATACATCAATTTCAAAGACATTAACGCACCATATACAACGAATCATAATACATTCACAACTAGATCATTTGTAGTATAGAACTGAGTAACATATATTCATTATTATTATTATTATTATCATTATCCGACTCATAGTAGGTAAAATTTATTTGTGAATCCTTCAGTATTTTGTCTTTTACATGAACAAGGTTGGTTGTGGTAGTGTTGAGATAAGATGGTGGTTGGAAGAAGGACTTGACACGCATGACATTGATCACCACCCAGTGATCAATCAATTGTGGTAATGTTCTGATGTCTCATTTGTTGTGTACTCATCCCTTTTTCATCTGATGTGGTTAATCCGTTCAGAGTGACGATTCTTAGGATGCATCATTTCGAGGTTCATTTTTGATCATGTAAAAGAGAACAATTACAAATTTTTCCTAATAATGAATATTATTTACCCAAAGCCCAAATTTCTGCGGAAAATTATATCTGATTTTGTAGGTATCAATGCCAAGGTTAGACTTTATAGTTACAAATAAATTGAACATAGGGTAGAAAGTTAATAATAAATATGTTCTTTGTTACATCCCAATGAGTAGAAAAATTGTGTTTCTGACGTTTTTTGACTTAATGTAGTCCACTTCTTCAGTGTGAATAAAATCTGAAGAAGTGGTTTACATTACGTCAAGAAACGCTAGAAATACATTTTTTCTACCCATCGGGATATAACAAAAGATATATTTAATATTAATTATATCTGGATTTGATTGGTATATCTATTCATCGAGTAACAGGTACATACTTTATTAGGTGTAATTTCTGAACAGTCTAAGACATGCCAACAGTCAAGAAATCAAGCGAAAGTTAGCACGAAAAAATGAAGAAAAACACCTGAAAACCATTCTTCAAAAGAACGGCTATCCAATCAATTTCATCAAAAAATATCAGTCGCACACACCATCAGAAATGAAGTCAAGTATAAAAATTAACAAAAGGATCACTCTACCATACATAAAGGGCATATCGGAAACGACAACAAGGCTGCTGAAAACCTTCGGAATAGGTGTAGCCCACAAACCAACAAAGTCCCTCCACTCAATCTTATGCAAACCAAAAGATGAAATGGCAAAAGAAGACAAAACAAACATCATCTACAAGATAAATTGTACCAACTGCAACAAACACTATATTGGACAAAGCGGACGCCCCCTGCATCTTCGCCTACATGAACACCAATTAGCAGTCAAACGCCACGACATTTCTTCACTCATATCAATACACGTGGACAACTACGGACATACATTCGACTGGGAAAATGTGCAGATTTTGGACAGAGGCAATTCCAAAAATACCAGAGAATTTTTAGAAGCTTGGCACTCAGGTCAATCAGCAATAAACAAACATATTGAAATCAATCCAATCTATCAACCAATCAAGAAAATTATGCAGGAACATAGGAACAAAAATCAAAACAATAGGAGAGACAATCAAAACAAAGAAATAAACCATGACAGATTTAAGGTCAATAAGAACCAATCAACATCGAGGTGCAGAGGACATGCTGTCAATCACATGTGGAGAAATTCAAACACTTCACTTCTACCCGAAGTTTGTGCTGATGATGTCGTTCAGAAGGACGATGAAAGCTCCACGACCAAACCATCCAGCTCAGAGAACAAACCAACATAAAAATCACCCACCTGAGCTACAAATCTTCTCCACCATCTCATAGTATATGTTTCTTTTTATTCGCCTTTTACGATGGCGGTATATCAACAAAGTTTTTTTTAATGAAAATGTAAGCGAATATGTTCTTTTCGCATTTACTAGCGATGGAATAAGATAAGAATTAAGCCTGATAGTTGGGTAGTCATTCCATTGAATAGCGAATAATTTGTAGTCCTTATATCCCCAAACAGCTTATTTATAACTTTCAATTTGTAATATAAGCATATTATTTTGTTAGATGTAAAAATTTCTTCAACTTGAAAGGCTATTTTTTCTGGTATCAGTTTAATAATCCAGTTTGATAAACAGTTATTCCCGCTTACATTGTATCATCCCATACCATTTATTGATTAACATCCCTATGTATTTACCTAGCAATTCAAACCTCTCTTCATAATAAATAGTAGCAAAGTGATGATGTTAGTTGTAATGGTATTGAATTAAATTATAAAATGACCTTAATTAAACTATTGACCAATTTTCATTAATAAGGAGTACAAATTTACTGTTTCATAGCTGCATTGAAATTTCTAGATTCTAAAATATACACAAACTAGTTAAATGTACTTTTTTAAATATTTTTTCATTACACTTTTATTCCATTATTTATGAGCATATTTTTTTATATTCCGTACGATACAAGTTTCTTTTTTTGTAATTTGTAAACAAATACGACAATCATGGTAAGCAGAGATGGATAGTGGCTAGCAGTGGAATCCACAACGCGAGTTTCGTCCTATTTGGGAGTCGTCAGCTGGATGTACCTTTAAGAGTTGATGTTTACTCTGGGACTCTAATCTAGTACCTTTCGCTTCAAACACCATCTCGTTATCCACTCAGCCACTGAGTCCTGATAACCACTTGCGATGGGGTGAAGTTTAAATTCATTGAGAATTGTTTGTTTGAATCTTCCCATACGACAATTGATCCACATTCATTATTGCTCATAATTCAGATTAGATTATATAACTTAACAACAACTACTACTATTTGTTCATTTATTGGGTATTTTTTTTAGCATTGATAAAGTATCTCGGATTCTTTCACCAACATTAATTATCCATGGAACTGATGATGAGATCATTGGTATAGATCATGGAAGAGAATTATATTCTCGGCTTACTAATCCTCTTGAACCAGCTTGGATTGAAGGAGCAGGTCATAATGATATCGAATTATTTTCTGAATATGCAACTCGTTTAGATCGATTTTTTAATGAAGATATCATTGATACAGAGTATAGTGGAAGTCCTTCAAATATAATCTCTTCTGTAGAAGAATCTCTTCATGCTGAAGAAGCTTCAGATATTACTCAGCAAATATCTGATCATATGAAGTCTTCCACTGTGTTGAAGAAAAATGCTATTTCAAGTTCTCAATCATCAACTTATGGTAATATCTCTGAGGTTCCTGATGGTGGTGCCTTGGATACGGCGACATCGAGTATGTCTACGGACTCTACTTCAAGTGCAACAACTGTACAAAAACTTGAGTCTATCACTGGTGATGACGCTGCAGGCATTTATAGTGACAATGAGAAGGTTAACACAAACGATGAAGTGTGTAATAATACAGCCCCACATTTAACTAACTCCTCAGATACTTTGAACAGTAATCCAAATGGAATACCATCTAATTCTAGTACTACTCAATTACTGAGCTAGAAATTAATTACTTGTGGTTACTGCTGTGTGTGTATTTTGATTTTGGGTAAGCGAAGTTTTAATCAGTCAAGTTTGTTAATAATGTGTTGTTTGAATTATCATGTCGCATTTGCTCTACCTTATGAGTGAATGACTAATTTTCACACAGTAAATTTGGTTCGTTTTATAGTAATTGGAATTCAGTACATTGTATGTTAATAAATATATGTTTCATCTAACTGTCGGACTGAGCCACATAGGTAAATGCAGTCTACCTGCTTGTGGGGGGTATCTGGGCGATTATCGTAACCCATAGTTTTAGAGTCTGGTTGACGTTGCTCAGAATCATTCGCAATGGCTCAGTTGCATTCACGTTTTTCTTCTCTTAGGTCCTAAATTGTTATCATTCCACTAATCTGTACTTCTCAAATCATATCTTCAGTAACTAATCTTTTCCATTGATACTGATACTGGCACTGTGGTATGCACTACTTCTTCGCACAGACAAGTAGTATATAGCAGTAATTAGAAGTAGAATGTTTGGTAGAAGAGTAGAATAAAGAGAAGAGGAAGGAAAACGAAGAACAATCGGAATAACAGTATCGAAAGAGTGACGAAGTGTGTAAAGGACAACTGAAGATATGTAAATAATGTATGATTTTCATATTTTACAGAGCTATTGTTTGATTTTGCATAAAACCACGAATTGGCATTGTAGTGAACAAAACACTGGTTAGGGACAATCGAATGTATTTAAGCAAACATTACAGACTATCTCAGTAAATTCTGATAACCAAACAATGAACAGTCAATTTGCAAAATAACAACCAATTGTTTCAATCTTCACTTTTTCTTCTCTAATTCCATTGCTCATGCATTTTCCAAACGATTGCGCTTCATTTCAGTTCTTTGCTCATCGGTCTTCTGCCAAAATACATTCTATGTCTGACCCACACCATATACTACTTATATGGATATAAGTAGACCACACCACAGTATTTCTCAGCAAGTCCTCACTCATTATACTACTATCTCTACTATTCTGGGATTTACTCTGAAAATGTCCCCCCTCTCTGTTGATAGGATGCGGCAAGTTAAGTCAATTCACTTGTGCACTATTTGTGATGTTGCGTGTAACTGACTGTCTGTGTAGTAAATGTTTCGCTGCAGCAAAAGCACTTACTGTACGACTATAATTTATGTTTTATAACGATAAAATAGATATCCACAGACAGAGATATTTTGGGAGCATACTAATGTTTGCCTGTTTCGACAACTATGTGGGGTTTGGAACATTCCGTAATATACAATCTTTGAGATTCACTTCTTACTCAAATTGTTACATTTTCTAGGCTATGCAATGAAATAAATATCGACAAACTTTCACGTAATGACACCTAATACGAATTTCATGAAAATATCTATATCAACCTCATGCTTCTAATTAGTAAGTTGTAAATCAAACACATTATTTTAGGTGACAGAGAGGGGAATTAACTTTGTACATGATGATCTCGAGTAGTGTTAAATGTATGAGGTCAGTTGTCACATTTTTGAAGTATGCTTCTCTGAGATATCTGAAAAATAAACTGGGTTGGGGTGATCTTGATAACCTGGGAATGTGACCCCAGTGCTCATGGAACAACTTCTTAATAGCGATTGCATACAGATTTCTTGTGACGAGCCATCCACGTACTTAAAATTTCTTAGCGTTGTTGATGGAAATCCTAACCTCTTCTTTCCGTTGAGAGAATGCAGTATTGCTGCAGATGTTGGTTGGTTAAAAAAGGCACGTTTCTACTGTCGCGGTCTATGCCACTTATGCTGATAGACATAAGTAGTATATAGCAGCAATCGGAAGTAAAATGCCTGGTAGTAGACGGTTGCAATGTAGAGAACAGAAAGAAAATCCGGGCACAATCAAAATAACAACAGGATTAGAGCAATAATGGAGTGTTTAAAAGACAACGCATAGAAGATATGAAAATGATGTCTTTAATGTATAATTTTCATATTTTACTAAACCATTGTGTGAATTTACGTTAAACAATAAATTGGTTATCCCCTCCAAGTCCTCGTTCACTAAACTGTCACACCTCTTCACAGTCAGAATTAAGACTCCTTGCACACTATGCGTCTGCTGTTTTCATCCAACGTGCCTGGCACTATAGGACCTCATAGAACAAGTGTTGGAAACAATATAGATTGATTTAGCCATTACGATATACATGCTCATATAACCATGCCAAGGTAGTAGCTACAATCGTACATTATTACATTCAACACTGTCGAAACTTTTTCATGGCATGCGAAATGAGATTCTCCTTGTACCATTTGTATTCGGATAAACATCAATAAATTAACTGTTAATTCTTGAACTCAAGTTAAGTTTACATCGTTGTCATTGTTCGAAATTTATAAGTCATACAATAAGCTATTTGTATCATATGACATTTGTTTACTAGTGTATATGTTAGACAACGGAAGTAGGAAGTAGCTAATAATCACAGTATTTCAATATAACTATTCATTTTTCCATCAAGACTACTGTATCATATTATTTGCGTACATTCATTGTAATTTATTAAATAAACATAAGTCATATGCTAATACTGTAATGGATCACAACATAAGTGGGGACAAGCGAATGTATTTTAATACATTACAGACTATCTTGATAAAATCTGAGAACTATACAATAGATACTTCATTTGCAAAATATCCATCAATTCTCTCAGACTTTGTTGTCCCTTCGTTTCAATGCCAATCACTTTCTGTTCTCGTTCACTTCTTTTCGATTTCCCCAACCTTCCGACCCCAGACATCACACTTTCGATTAATGATACATTTTACTTGTATCTATCGACATCAGTAGCACACACCACAATATTATTCGTATTTCTCGAAAATATTTACAAACTTACAAAACCTTTTCAATAATTTTCTGATGAATTATGACGACAATATTCTGAGTTAATGCAGTACAATTATTTATACTCCTACTGAAAATGCATTTTTATTTCAGTCAGTCAGCTACAACGTAGAACCAGGCACATATATGCATCGGTCCAAGTTGCCATACCTCGTTAGCACAACAAGATGAACACCGAATTCATAGAAGCAGTTAATTTAGTGGTGTTAATATATAAAATATAGGTTGTATATAAGGATATAATACAGGAAGGAAGACAGATATAAAGCAATTTTAATCTCAATGTTTAAGGAAAGATAAAGAGTGTATACACGTACGCTATTGTGATCGATTCTGAGCCATGTTACCTAGAGTCTCCAACCATTGGTTACGATAGTCACGCGGACCACGACCAAGTAGTCTGCATCTACCAACATGGCTCAGACTAGAAGTTAGTGACTTCAAGCTCTGATGCCACGTTTTGGTTTGGCCACCCCTAAGTTTCTTTCAACCATCCTCAATACTAGTCAGCTTAGCGCGTCGTGGTAATCGTTGTTCAGGCACACGTAACACGTGTCCCAACCATCTCAGTCGATGAAGAAATTCTCTCGATACTGTTTATGTGTATACATCAATATTTGTGTAATATTGTTTACGTAATATATATTTTACAATTTATACTACATTTACTTTTAATACAGAGAAAATATTTCATCTGTGTAGTTTGCATCATTCGATTTAAAGTTATTATATGAAGAGGAATTTTTTTCTTATAGGATAGTAATCTAAATTTTATTTTGTTTTTCTTTTTTTTTAATTTTTTAAAATTTTTTTACGATGATTGTGTTTAGTATTGTGCTAATATAATGAGATAGTGCGAAAATGTGGTGAAATAATGATACATTACTTTGAATAAGAATCAATTAATAAAAAAATTAATGTTCATCTTAATGCCATACATCTTAAATTTAAGTGTTTATCAATGAACAATATCTGTGTATTTGAATAAAGACAAAACAAATATCATAACAGAATAACATGAATTCATTTAATTCGTGGATTTTTTCTATCGGTTTACCACTTACTTACGCCTGTTACTCCCGATGGAGGATAGGCCAACGACCAGCATTCTCCAACCCACTCTGTCCTGAGCTTTCCTTTCTAGTTCTATCCAATTTATCTCATGTCTGTTTCCATTTCTCGGCGTAATGTATTCTTTAGTCTTCCTCTTCTCCTTTGACCTTCAGTATTCCATGTGAGGGCTTGTCTTGTGACGCAGTTGGGTGATTTCCTCAATGTGTGTACTATCCACTTCCAGCGTTTCTTTCTCCTTTCTTCCTCCACTGGATGGAATCTGGTTTATTCGCTCCCATAATAGAATGTTGCTGATAGTGTCTGGCCAACGGTTCCGAAGTATTTTGCGTAAACAGCTGTTAATAAACACCTGTTCTCTAAGTTTCAGCTTCATACAGTAGAACTGTTTTGACGTTCGTATTGAGGATTCTGGCTTTGCTATTGGTTGACAGTTTTATTTCCATGTATTCTTCAGCTGTAGAAATGCTGCTCTTACTTTGCTAATCTTGATCTTCATACCTGCATCAGATCCTCCTTGTTTATCGACAATTCTGCTCGTATATGTGTGTATAGGTTTTCACCTCCAGAGGTTCTCCATGAATTGTGATTGGGTTGATGTTCTTCGTGTAGTATTTGAGGGTCTCAATTCTTCCCTTATGTATGTTGAGGCCTACTGATTCAGACGCGGCTGCTATACTGGTTATCTTTACCTGCATTTGTTGGTCCTTATGGGATAGAACGGCTAGGTCATCTGTGAAGTCCAAATCTTCTGGTTGCATCTGAGCTGTTCATTGTATTCTGTGCTTCTTATCAGATGTGGAGATATACATAATCCTACCAACCGCTAGGAGAATATAATACTAAACTAACTTATCCAAATAAATTGCATATCTCAGTCATTTAATATGTCTATATAATTTATATAATTTGCATTTTTCATAGTTGAAATCATGAGTCAACTGAAGCTAGACCACGATGGAAAACCTGGAAGCACTGGACGGCCGTCTCGTCCTATTGTGAGACTCCTCAACAGTGCGCATCCACGATCCCGCACTCGCGAGATTCGAACTCAGGACCTACCAGTCTCGGGAGCGAGCACTTCACCGATAGACCACTGAGCCGTCATCCAACGATGTTAATATCTAACTTCGACCAATCCACAAAGATGAAACGGCCGTACAGTGCTTCCAGGTTTTCCATGGTGGTCTAGCTTCGGTTGACTCATGATTTCAACTATGAAAAATACTGAAATCTCCACAAAATCCCTTCTGTGTATATAATTCGTATTACATTTCAAAAATGGTTTGTTTTCTTTTTTTTTTAGAAAAACCTTTTTTTCTATTCATGAAATCAGCATGGATATTTTTATGGAACCTGCGGTTATCAATAATCTTTTGCATTACACATAGTAACAAAAATAATAACAATAATAATGTATTTCTATTCTAATGTTACATTTCCACTACTGTTTTCGTAATGTCTAATAAATACTATACATATTTGCTTATTATTATTATTATTATTATTATTATTGCATTTCTACTTTTGTCTGCTGCTAATCTAATTGTATATTAATTAAAATAGTTAACATTTTGTAGTTCTCTTCTTTTTTTCTTTCAAAAAATGTCTGTTTAAATGTTTTACTGTCGTTTTTTTGGGTTTTTTCCCCATTCCTTTCAATCATACTTTGTTTATGTTGTCAAGTTGTTTTTTGTTTCTTTGTCTTGTCTATGCATTTCTATGATTTGGTAAACAGAGTAATAGTATTGTTATTGCTGCTAATCTTGTTTGTTTATTTTAAATGTTGGTTTGATCTGTTTGTATTTTTGACTATCTCTATAACTGATTTACTATACAATGTAAACTAATGTATATGTGTGAATTTATGCTCAATATGTTAATTGTCAAATTCACTGCATGCTTATGTGTATATGTAAGTTTAAATGTGTACAATTACTTCATTAATCTTTGTTGATTTACACTTTTATAAATTGTTTTCTTTGTTGACTTTAAATAAACTTAATGTTGATGAATTATACTTTCCTTTTTTGATGAAGTTTTGTTGTCTGAGCTGGATGGTTTGGTCTTGGAGCTTTCATCGTCCTTTTGAACGACATCATCAGCACAAACTTCGGGTAGAAGTGAAGTGTTTGAATTTCTCCACATGTGATTTGAGGTGCATAGGACAAGTTGTCAATCACATGTGGAGAAATTCAAACACTTCACTTCTACCCGAAGTTTGTGCTGATGATGTCGTTCAAAAGGACGATGAAAGCTCCAAGACCAAACCATCCAGCTCAGAGAACAAAACTTCATCAAAATCACCCACCTGAGCTACAAATTTTCTCCATCATACTGTCCGTTTGATTATTTCATTTGTTTTTGTTTATCTCTTTTCTATTGTATGTTTGTTTATCTTCTTCCTTTGCTTCATATCGTTAATGTTTCATAGTTATGTCTGTATAATTATAATTTTGGACTGATCATTTTTTGTGTGAATATGTACCAGTTTAGTTATGATCGTTTCTTAATATTTCTACTATAAGTTGTACTGTTGCTTTTATTCCCTTTACTCTTATATGTTTATTAAGTATACATTTGTAGTAATTTATTTTATTCTAAATGTGAATTAAGTTCTCATTTCTAACGTAATGTTTATAATTGAGTTTTTCTTTTCTCTGATGTATGTAAATAAGCGAGGGATGCAGAGGAAGATGACTACCGTTGTTGGGTTTTTATTCTTTTTCAAAATGATGGCCATTTTAATCAACTAAATCACTGATCAAAGTGCAAATTCTAGTTATCTGAAGGGGTTTGTTTAGTAATAAATAGACTAACTAAAGAGGCTTTAATAACAATATCAATCTCACCATTCGTACATTTATTACTGTCAACTGTAATCGAGAATTCTCACTAGTATTTACTATCATCTGAAATTTACGGACTGCTAGACTGCACCTCGTCAATACCCGGTTATAGGACTGAAGCCTTGGTTTTATTGCAAAATCATTTCATTATTAACCATTAGGCTTCGTTATAGTAAAATCTTTGCTCAAATTGCGATGTTGTTGTAGGGTCACTGAATATCGAACAGATCACTGATCCCTGTCAAGGTCAAGGATAGTCAACGCGCACAAACCAATCATACGCCATGGGCTGGCCCACGCTGCAGTAGTTATTCTTTCACTTCTGTACTTCCATAGTTGTATCTTAACTAATATATTCTTGTAATAACTTCCTTTGTGTTGTACAGTCTCCATAGCATCCATTATCCTTTGATGCGTCGATGGTTCAATCCACGTAAGTGCTGGTCGCGAGGTGTGACTTCAGCGTTAGTTGGTTCGTCCCCATTCTCGTCTAACTATAGTAGGCCCCCAATCATTTTGACATAGATAATCAACGTAGATGGTCTACATTGTCATTGAAAAATCTGTTATAAGTTTGTGAAGTTTTCGTATACTCGTCAATCAACCAAGTCCTTCAGTAAATCTTGTTTTGCTCGTGACAAGGACCATACACCGTAAGTCCTTTGGGAAGTGATGTTATAAACTCTTAGTACTACCAACTTAACAATCATCATTCGTGATAACAACAACCTTTGTAAAAGAGTGTAAGTGTGCAACTGGGGTACTACATAGGCGAATTTTGATTTCTGTTTACATTTCCTCCGTCAAAATGGCACTAGAGATTGTACTTAGGGACGTTAGAATCTTTCGGGATATAGTCGGACCCCATTTTCCAATATACTTATAAAATCTTTGAATTCTTTATCTAAGTTCAATATTCAGACCTCTCATAATGATTATAACATCCAGGTATAGTGCAACCTCATTGATGTTTCGTACCGTAAAACCCATTGTCTTGAAAGATAGCTGGGCAATTTTAACTCCAAAAGGCAATGAATTACATTCAAATAATCCTTTCTATGTGTTAATGGTGAAAAGTTCGTGCTTTTGCAATGAAACTCCCATTGGAATATATGCATCACTGATGTTCAGTTTTGCAAAATATTTTTCATCAACTTATTAAATACATCTTTTACTATAGGTTGCAGATGGTGGTTTTCCAGAGAGGCATTTTGATCAGTTGAAATGTCAGTTTCTTCTTCGACCATCACTGTTAGTTCACCCAAGCAAAGTACGACGCCAGGGCGCCTCGATTCTATATCAGTCTTTGAAATGTAGCATAAGATACTGGCTGTCTCGTAAAGAACAAGTATGCTGTCTGGGTTTGATAGTGAAGACGCTAAAGTTCTTGTTCAACAGCTCAGACCTTTAAACAGTTGAGAGAACCCTGATGTGATTTCTCGTGTCATATCTACCCCCGGAGGCTTCTGTACTTTAAGACATGTTAGTTAGTGATTGAGAATGTAAACTTAGTATGTTGACAATCAACTTCAAGTGAGTGCACGTTCATTTCAACAATACAACATGATCTAGCAATGGTTTGACCTTAATATGTAACTATATTGTAACAGTATTTCCTGTTGCAATAATACACCTCACGCATTTCTAACAGCCTGATAAATTTTCTGGTCTGACTAGTCATCTACATGGTTTCGTAGGAGCTCTCTTACTTCCCTAACTGATGAAGCCAACTAAAGGGATGCCATTCTTCTAGATCAATGAAAAATGAGGACATATGGTGCACATCTATTGAAATAATGAGCGGAATAACTTTAGAGCTACGTGAAACACGTATAAGTCACTATGAAAAACTACGAGGAGATGCAATGACTTGTACAAGCGGTTTACTACAAACCATGCAGCAACTACAGTCAATATCACTGTAAAGACCGGAATGTCAATATTTGGTTTAAAAGCAGAACCAACGAACCAAAGTTTATTCGATTAGATCAGACTACTTTCTTCCGTGTAGCGTACGAAGCGTCTTTGAGTGACTCGTATTGGATTAAATCTAAAAACAAACTCTGTGTTAATTTAAACGGCTCGAATTTGAGTTAGACTCAAAAGAGAGTTGGATTGGAGAATGCTGGTGAGCTGTCTATGCTCCTCCATGAGGAGTAACAGACGCAAGTAAGTAATTTGAATAAGAGTAACATTTATATCAAAAGTGCAAAATACCTCAAACGGTGCAGTTTATGCCACACAGTCAAGGGTTTGTCTAACATATACTAGAGTGCTAAACAACAAAAGGAATAGTTAAAATAAAATAGTTTAATACCTGGGAATTGATCAAAATATCCCCAACAGGATGAGATTGGATATTTATCTGCAAGGGCTCCAGCAACCTTTAAAAGCTCACTGAACTACGTCGGGATCTTGAGTTTGATCAAATGCCACCTTATTTTCAGTAGGCAACAATAAAATAATGTACAGTAACAAGCCTTGAATAAAGGCTAAAATACAAAACACAGTGAAGAAACAAATAAATGACAGCACTGTCAAATGAAATTCTGTGGAGGGATTTTCAGAGTTTCCTTTCTGTTACACCGGCCACTAAATTCCCTCGAGCTACGTAAAGACATATCTGGATACATCCAATCATGACTCTCTTATTTAACTACTTTATGTCAATGTGACTTACAGAACTTACAACTGTACGCTCATAAACCTGCAATTCACTATGCAGTTATTCGACCCCCTCAGGAGGCAAAGCTTTCGCACATCTCTTCTTACGACCTCTTCTATCAGGTGTACCAACACTGTTCTTACTGAGCTATATCCATCTATTTCGTATTTATAAACCTATCCCCTTGACCATGAACCGCGAGTGATTGGGTCGTTTGCCACAAGCACTTCATCACTTCCCCTTAAGTTTCTATGTTTGCGAAGCCATTTCTGTCCAAGTTGCAGTAGCCGAATGCACTCCCTCATCCAGCGACGTCAGAAGGTATTGGCTCGACATTGTACCTGTCTCCATCGTGTCGAATACCTATCCGCAATATTTTAATCTATCTTTAAATCATCACATTCTCTCAGTTTTAACAGAGTGTTTGTTGTGAGCGTTTAGTAATCCCTTTCATCGGATATCACAGGAAAAATGAGGCGGTTATGTAAAATTCTTTCTATCTCCACAAAGTAGGTTACTAAGCCATTGAAACCTATTTAATCCATTATGAAAGTGTCAGTACTCAGATTAGAAGCTACTTCGAGGTGTACAGCACGCATTTGAAGAAACGCAAATATGCATTTACACCACTTTTCCTCATTTCTTCCCCTAACGAACCGTCAACAGCCCAGAATAGCCAATTTCCATGGATATGTGGCACCAACGAAATATCGTGTAAGTATCTCTCTGGTGCTTTCTGGCTATTTAAACGGTTATCATTCCTATATGGACGCTAGTCATGATTCTTCTTTAGCGCCACGTGTAAAATAGAAGCTCATGTGCAACTTCATTGCTGTAATATGCCCAAATGCACCATGTGTTTGAACTTTTTTTAGTA